AGCGTTTCGTGTTCGTTTTGACTTCGTGTGGACGGGGCCAAAGACAGGACAAACGAGCTGATTGGGAGCAGGTGTGAACAGAGGCTTCTAGAAAGGAGCTAGGGAAAAGGAGACCAACACAAGAGGGCAACAAAGAAAAACCCAAATGTATCCAGAAAACACAACAAAATAGGAATTAAACCAATAAAACTAGAAAACCTGAAGCAAATTAAAACTGAATACTAAAAAGAAAAGTTAACAGAACCAAAACCGTGACACTTTCCAGGACCAGTTTTTAGGAACAAAACAAAAGGCCCCAAAAAAAACACATTTATTTGTGCTATTAGTGCTAAGAATTTAATTGAAATAACAGAAAGATTTTTGCAATTAGACAAAAAGTAAAAAAAAAGGTAAAAACACATTTAATTCAAATCTTTCAACACTTAAATTCGAATGAAATCTGAACTTTGCTCACAAACGTCTCAAAAACCTGCATGAGGCTTTAACTCTTAGACGTCCTCTGCCTCGCTGAGCTCGCTGTCACCCCTACTCTCACGCTGCAGCTCAGCAGTCTTCTGATTTTTTTTTTTTTTTTTTTGCCAATGGCATTATTTTCCGACTTTTGAATGTGCAATCTTCTGACATTCTGTAACGCCGTATTTCTTTGCTGCCTGGCAGTTAATTGAACACCTTTAAATTAAAATTGGTGTCATAACTCCGCCTCAAACGTCTGCAAAGTTGTCTGACTTTAATCCACTCCGTTCAGGACAGCGAGTCACCATTTGTAGCATCCTTGTCACTTCTTCTCTGTTGTGATAGAAAGATGACCCCCGCAACAGTGAGGTTACTGGCTTTCAAACAAGTGGCGACCTCTGCTGTTGCGTTCGTATAGCGACCCCAGACAACTGTCAAGCTGTATAATTGGTTAGACCCTGATTATAAGAAGACCCCACATTTTCAAATCATTTCAACTAAATAAACCTTGTCTTATATTCAGGACAATACGTGTCTTTATGAAGTTTTGTTTTGTTTCCATTTCTGTGGAACCTGTGGACCCAGGTTCCACAGAGATACAGAAAGCTCTACGTCTACGCTACTGACGGGATCTACCAGATCTGCCATCTTATTGGCAGCCATGTTGGATATCTGCTGATGTTGTGAACAGAACCAAATGTAAACGACACTGACAGATCTGGTTCTGTTTGCAGCAAATCCCAAGTCGACAGAGAAAAATCCTGGAAGAGGCTCATGAGCTGAGTGAAGATCATTACAAGAAGTATTTAGCTAAACTGCGCTCCATCAACCCACCCTGCGTCCCGTTCTTTGGTATGACTGGACCCGATCCTTTCGGTACTGGTACCACCAGAATCTGTTCTAACAGTTTGTGTTTGTGCTGCAGGGATCTATCTGACCAACATCCTAAAGACGGAGGAGGGAAACCCCGACTTCCTGCGCAGACACGGAAAAGATCTGATCAACTTCAGCAAGAGGCGAAAAGTCGCAGAGATCACCGGGGAAATCCAACAGTACCAGAACCAGCCATACTGCCTGAGTGTCGAACCCGACATCAGGGTAAGTCTCTGCTGACGTTGCCTCGCAGGGGTTTAAAGCTCTTTGTTTTGTTATTTTTTTTAAAGCTGCTTCTGTGTGTTTGTGGAGCAGAAGTTCTTCGAGAACCTGAACCCGATGGAGGAGATGTTAGAGATCGACTTCACCGACCATCTGTTCAACAAATCGTTGGAGATCGAGCCTCGAAACACACGATCGTTGCCCCGTTTCGTAAGTGATGCATCAGACACCGCCAGTGGCATAACTCTGAACTGTGAGCTAACGCGCACCCGCCTCCGGTCCAGGCGAAGAAGTACACCTGTCCTCTGAAGTCCCCGGGAATCCGACCAACGTCGGCGAGGCTCGGCACCATGAGGCACCCCACGCCTCTGCAGAACGAGCCCAGAAAGATCAGCTACAACCGGGTCACAGACAGCGAGTCCGAGGGTGGCGCCGTCTCCGCCCCAAACTCCCCCCGGACGCCACTGACCCCACCGCCGGCCTCTGCCGCATCCAGCTCCACTGATGTAGGCAGCGTCTTTGACTCCCCTCAGGGTCCCAGCAGCCCCTTCCATTCAAGTAAGACCTCCTCCCTGAGCATTAACTCCACCCACACACTGTAACCACAACCATACAATATAATCCCGCCCCTAATTGTGTTGTGCATAAATCTTTAACACCGCCGATAAGTTGTTACCCTGACCTGACCTGCAGAGACTCCGCCCAAAAACTACCAACGGACATACTTCCAATGTTCCTAACCCTCATACCAAGATTTTTACTCCGCTCACATATTGTTACTCTGCCCATCAAATGTCACCCCCTCGATTACAACCCCTAACTGATACTGACATCCCCCACACACTAACCCCCACCTTCTGACAAGTGAGTCATACTAACTCCGCCACCAATACTCTAAAGGTGGATTCACACCAAACCTGTTCTGACTATTTCAGTGTTGACTGTTGCAGGTCGTTGCAGAGCGTCAACCAATCAGAGAAGCTGATTTAAGAGCTCTCTATGAAACATGAGAGTGCTCTGATTATTATTAGTCTACAAAACATATTTTCTGAAGTGTAGCAAAATAGGTTGTAATAAATACCCGCTCTGACATTGGATATCAAAACTGGCTGTGGTAAAATTTTCAATTTGATATTCTGGTTCTTTCCGATATGCCGACATTTTAAAGGTACACTATGCAACCGGTGTTGATTTTCCAGCGAGGCTCCCCCCAGAGGGCGAAAGTAAAAGT